TTTTTTTTTTTTTGAGTTAGAGTCTCACTCTGCCGCCCATACTGGAGTGCTGTGGCCGCTCCCAGCCACCGCAACCTCGACCTGCTGGGCTCTGGCGACCCTTCCGCCTCAGCCTTCCAAATAACCAGAACTACAGGCATGCACTACCACACCCGGCTCATTTTGATTTATTGTAGAGATGAGGTCTTGCCAAGTTGCCCAGGCGGGTCTCGAACCCACGGGCTCAGGCAATCCACTCACCTCAGCCTCCCAAAGGCGCGGGATTACAGGCTGAGCCACCGAGCCAGGCTAAACAAAATTTTCTTATAGTAATAATGTTACAAATGGTGATTATATTCTTAGACCTCCTCCAAGTATTTAAATATAGTCCAATTTATGTTCATTATATATAAGTGACATTTTACAAGACAATTTCCAGGAGATAAACTTTAAGACGAAGTTTTAGATTACTGCTCCAGCGATCTACTGCTATGTAATATATTATTCAAAACTGAGCAGCTTAAAACAATAACCATTTTATTACAGCTCATGATTTTATGAGACAGGAATTTGGGCAGACCTCAGCCAGATCAGTATTCTATTCCAAGAGTGTTGAGATTACTCCCTGGTATTCACCTGGTGGGTGTGTTTGTCTGGATGGTTCAGGTGCCTTCATTCACAAGTCTGGTCCCTGAGTGGGGACAGCTTGATCACTAGGGACTATTGCCTAGTGCTTACATGTGACCTCTCTAGTATGGTGCTCTCAGGGTTGTTGGTCATCTTATATGCCAGTTCAGAACTCTCAGAAAGAGTTCTCCAAGAGACCAAGGCTGAAGTTGCAAGGCTTCGTCTGATCTAGTCTCAGATAGCATGCAGTGTCACATTTCTGCCATATTATACTGGTTACAAGTGAGCCATTGAGCCAACCAAGATCCAAAGAGAGAAGGTGTACAAAGATGTGAATCCAGGGACACATGGTTCATTGGAGGCCCATCCTTGGAGACTAACTTCCACAGTGGAGATTTAATGCTTTTTAATCTGTATAGGTGAAAGCCCCACCCACATTTTCATAAGAAAAAGTTATTTAATGAGTCTCAAACTGTACTCTCAGAGAAACCTGCTGTTTCACTGCTGATGTTGAATAATGGCAGTCTGTTCTAAATTTGGAAGAAAAACTGAGATTAACCAGGCTTATTAATATCAATCTCTTGTTTCCCCATGAAAATATTTCTTAAATCCTTATTGTCTGATACCATTCTTCCTTTGTATGACAGAACAATTTTTAGGAAAATTTTGTTTTCCCCATAGCATTTTTCTCCTTCCTGGTTCTGTGATGACAGTCAGGCTCCTTATGCACCCTTACCCAGGAAAAGTATATGTGTCAGGTCTGAAAGCAGAAGGCTCTTGCAGACAATTCCCTTTCTGGCTTTTGTTTTCATGAAGGCTGAGCTTGCAGAATCTGTTGTGAAGGAAGAGGGAAGAGGCAAAGGTTGAAAGGCAACAGAAGTTGGCCAGTAGCTTGAATAACAGAGGTTCCCAGTGTCTCACTCCATAGCCCTTCCTTCCACCCCCTCTCCTTCTCCAACCTTATTAAGTCTCCTGACTTACCTCTTTGAAACTCCTGTTTCTGTGGAGTAGAATTTGAAAATCATTGCTCTAGATCAATCATTCCTCAGACCTTCTCAGTTGGGGAACACAGAAGAATGGTAGAGTAGAAGCTGAGGAACTTCAGACACAGGGGATAAAGGAAATAGAGTTACAGGTGATTGTAACTTTTTTAGTCTTATAAATATAGAATGCTGATACTGGTCACAAATTAAGCATTGGCAGGGAGTGGAGGATAATTAATTTCATTTTTGAGTGCTAAATTTGAGATTCTGGTATAGCATCCTAAACAAGGTGGCCTATAAGCAGCTGGAGAGATGGCAGTGGCACTCAGATGAAAGGGCCAGGGTTGTAGATAAGAGATCCAGTAGCCGGGCTCAGTGGCTCAGCCTGTAATCTCACGCCTCTGGGAGGCTGAGGTGAGTGGATTGCCTGAGCCCACAGGTTCGAGACCCGCCTGG